TAATATTAATATTAGTAGTAGTGGTAATAATAATAACAATAATAATAATAATATCTCTTTGACTGGAAACTATCCAAAGGCCATTTTTCCCGCCGAATGAAGAATAACTTAAATTTCATTGATGTCATCCCCCCAGATACAATCAACTTCTAACTTTTTTTTTCTTCATTGTCTAATAAATTTTATGGTAAACAATTTGAAATTCTTGGGAATTACTTCAAGGTGTTCAGAATACGATGAATTAAAAATCAAATAGCTACTTAAATGTGAACTGTTAAAACTTATCAAGAGCTGAACAACGAAACATTCTTGGCCATCAAAGATGGAGCTAAAAGGAAATATTAAATCAACCCTTCCTAGTTAGATGGTAGGGCTTAAAATTTCTTCCTCTCTGAAGAATTCCTTCCTTCTGAAGAAAAGAATATTATTTTCAGTTTAAATCTGCCTTCTAGGAGAAGCAGTGGCTTTTTAAAATCAGTTTTATATTACGAAGACAAGGAGGAAGATGAGGAAAAAACTATAGGTTGGAAACAGAGCCAAGGTTGCTGCATTAGAAGCACAAAGCAGGTATGTATAAATATCATTTTTGATGGTTCTATACAATTTCCTTAGGCAGCAAAATATTCTCAAGTACAGAAAGCTATAAATCCCGACTAAACTTAAAAGGCTAGCATTATCGGTGGTGGCCACTGAAATTGTCTACTCAAGACACTTTGGTATGTATAAAGAATCTGGGGGGAAATCTGTCTTGTGTATGCAGCTAGCTTTTACAGGAAAGCAGAAATGCACGTAATTCTTGCATCTTTTCCAGTGATAGGGAAAACTGTGGGAACAGGGCCCTCTCATTTCTCTGTAGCTGTTTGCGGACAATAAGATTGGTCTACCATATATGGCACAATAAGAAACATTTAGTTTTTCTTTTGGCAATTAAAAGGGGGAAAGTGCAGGAGGCCAATATCATTAAGATGTAAATCTGTTGACTTCCCGAACATATCGATAACAAATAACACCTTGGCAATAATGATTTTATAGATACTGGGTTTCATTGTTGTAAGCCCCCAGAGATGTGTTTAAGGTGGACATACAAATCTGCTAAAAAAAATAACGTGACCTGACAAATGCGCGCCGACAAATGCACGCCGACAAAACCGCAGTTAGGG